TAGATGTTATAAAACTACTTTAACGTAAACCTTTATTATAATTGTCACATCATATATAAATTATTTAAAAAATACATCAAAATAAAATGTATCATAAGCACTTGTGTGTTTGATTGTACATCATCAGATGTGCAAGCAGTGCACACCTCGCGAATTCCGCACGAGCTTCGACAAATTGCTCGGAGGCTGACGGGGCGATGGGTACGCGCGGAGTACGGGGCGCGCCGCCGCAGGGCAACAACGCCGACCCTCTGTTGTACTTGCAAAAAATATTTAAATTTTTAAGGAAATGGAAAAATGTTTACATAAAATTAAACATTTTCGTCATATTTGTATTTATGAAAAAGTTTGATGGCAAATGATACGACGCCTCATTATATTCTGGTGCATAATTTTCTTTAGCGTATAAAGCCGGAGAATAGGCAATCGGTTTTAGTTAGTATAATTTAGATCGTAAAAGTTTCACGTTTGGTGAAAAAAAAGCGTATTAACGAACCTATTTTGTATTTAAATAATAAAATCGATCAACTGGTGCTACGCCCTAACCCTTATATAATTAAAAACGACTTAAAACCAAGAAACATTTCGAATCGCCTTAACAACCATAGATTTCCCATAGCAATTGCCACGCGACAACTTTTGATACGCCTATGGTTGCCCGTGCTTATCAAAAAATAATAGCGCATCGATCGCAATCAATTATCAAAGTAAAATAAAACCTATCACTTTGTTTTAAAGTTCAAATTATATTATACAGAGTACAACAGGGAGTGTTGGAGAAATAGGCATAAAATAGATAAATAAGATTGTCTGTAGGTGTGTACAATTGTATACAAATAATATTTGTGGGGCGTGCCGCCGCGTGGCCGCAGTTAGGATAGCTTTCCCGTGACTATTGCAATTTGGTAACCATATAATCTCATTATAAATTTGCTTCTCATACCAAAGGGTTCCATCAACGGATCGCATTTAATATCCATCTAATATTTTTTTATATATGAATTTGTCGAATTAAAATAATAAATAATTTAAATGGCCACTGCATAGTACGTTTAAAATACCGTCAGATTGTTACTTTTTATTGTATAGGGCCAAAATCTTTAATTGTTCTATCGAAAAACTCCCAGACGCCTAGCCCTCTTTCTCTCGCCTTTACAAAATCATTATTAAATAGGAAAACTACAAAAAACCTTACGAAATTAGTTCCCGATGACAGTTCAAAAATATATGTAAACTATCAATTTGACCGCTGGCTTTACTTGTGTTTATTATTAGTTCGATCATTTTTAACCATAGTAATAAAATCTAATTTAATTTTGATTATAAAAATATTTATATAGATGAAAATATATTATGAGTTTAAAGAGGTTTATTGTTAGAAGGCCTAAAAGATAATCAAACTCTGCCTTTTTTAGTTCTTAATCATTTCAAAATAAGTTTACTATAATAGACAGAAGACACAGAAAATTAATCATGTTTTAAGGTAATTTGCAGTACATTAAACTTTCATCATAAGTCAGGACAAACGTACAAACTGTTTTGTAACTAAACATAGTTTTTTGTTGGTATATGACAAAAAAACCTTGTCCATAGCGCCACGTCGGACGCGCGGGACCTTTACACACAGCGGGGCCTCTCGACTTTCGGTACTAAATTTTTTCGTGTGGCATATTTATTTATTTCGGCCTCGACCCGAGATTATTTTCTACTAGATTTTATGATAATCGCGGTTGTATAACGGCTAATGAATTAGGTGTAGTCCAAGTTAATGTGACAACGCGATGCCGCTCACGACTTGTGCTCAATCTGTGACAACTTTTTTCTTAAGCTTTTTTTATGATTTTGTCTCACGATAAGCATCTCGTTTTGCACCTATTGATATATGAACTTGGTGTAACAGATAACGACTTAATTATTTATCAAATTGTGTAATTTTGTCTTCTTTATAAAACATTAAGTAACATATGTGTTATGAATTTCCAAAAACAAAACTTTCGATCGTAACCCAAAGAAATAGGCGGAGATATATCTACCTAGGATAGAAGACCGTAGTTTTCCATTTGGCATCTCTTTCCACGACTGCATGCTCGTTAGATTACTAGGCCCTAATAAATTCTAACATATATTACACTAGCTGTCCTCCGTGGCTCCGTCTGCGTGGAATAAAAAAACTTTGTAGCCTATCTGTTTTTTTAGACCATGTTCTACATCTATGCCAAACAGCGAGATTCATGCTGCCGTACTGTTCATCTTCTTACAAACATCCATTTAAATATTCGCATTTATAATATTTTTTGCGTCCCCCTCTAAATGTTTCCCTTAACTATCGCATATCGTAAATAATCGCTACTTAGCTAAAGACGATTAAAATTATCTTAGTCTCCTATGTTCTTAGTTATGTAAAAAGCGGTGGTGGCTTGCTAACGAATACTGTTTGATGCATTGTTTAGAGGTCAAGCGACGTCTCGAGTTCATTAATCATCCACGGATGTCAGTGGTGGCTGAAGATGAATGGCATGCCTCGAGCCTCCTCTACTCATGACTCTGATTATATCAGGGCTCGGGATTAGACCCCTTTTGTTGTTACAATCAGGTGTTAATTTACTCTTTATTAATTTCCAATTTATAGACTTATTTGTAGCCAGTAGCGATGCTCTTTTATTAGCAACTAGTGCCCGGGGCTTCGTCCGCGCGGAATTAAAAAGAAAACTAAGTAAGTAGCCTATGTGTTCTTCAATATTTATCCAATTATCCATCCATACATCTAAGCTTTCGGATTTATTATATTATATTAGAAACATTTGGAAAAAAATATTAGTATGCTGATCGATGAAATTCCTTGAATTAATGTGACGAGATGATAAAAATTAGATTTTTTGTTCATTTTTATTCCTAGCAATACAGTTAGATTATCTCTATGATTGCTTTGATTACGTAAACGAAGTCGGAGCCTATCGCTAGTAAAAAGTTTATATAGTATTGTACTTTATAGACCTACAAATTCTTGCGTCTGATTCTTTTCTCCGATATACATTAGTATTATGTCTACAAAATAAAGTCTTAACAATAACAGAGTCATATAAATTAAGATATATGTTTAAGCGAACACTAATTACCTATACAAATACTTGAAATATATTCAAACACTCACTTTCACTCTGCAAGACATTGTTGACCCTACCACGGAACAGGCAACCACTGATTTTTTAAAAATAAAAATATTAAAAAATCTGGTTATAAAACACCGATTACACAAATATTACAAAGAAAGAATTGTCTAAAATCATGTTAACATTAAAAAATAACACATAAGCATTATTAACTCGATTGGAGAAAGTTATCGTTGACATTTATTTTTTCTCACTACTCAAATATTTTCAACAATACTTGAAGTAAAACTCGAAAAGAAGCATTCATTACAATATTTTATCGTTTTTTATTTCTACAAAACGATACATTAACACGTAGTAGTGGTAACTTGGATATAATAAAGTCCGCAATCACAAAAAAAAAAAATTAGCCATAAATTATAAAATTTATGCCCCGGTCAGACGGGGCAAGGCAACGCGGCATACGTAATATCATAATGGGAGCCTGTCTCTTTGCCTTGCCGCTTCCTAGCTATTAAAACAGGCCGGATAGTAAACGTCGCTGTAAACTAAACTAAATATTCACATTTCGAATGCTTAATCGTTTTCCGAAGGCTTCGACTTGTTTTATGTTTTGTACCCCATTTGCATACGTCTCGGTGCTTTACCGACGACTCGGCTGTATTTGTCAGTGTTAACTTATTTTTTAGCGTAAAATCGTAAGTATTAATTGTCACTTAAAGGCCCGTATCACACAAGGCGTGGCAAATTTTCGAAACCTGGCAATTTTAGTCGCTAAGCTACTTACACAATATATTATGTCTATCATCGCCAAAGCCTAAACGAAAATCTCTGTATTTTCAGACTTTATTAGTAAGAATCATTTAATGCGAATGGCGCGCTTTCGTTACGTAATCAAGTGCTAAATCAATTAGTGAGGGAACGTTACACTCTTTGTAACTTGTTAATGTTATGTTTTTATGTGTCATTTCTTATTTCTATAATAATTTTGTACTGTTTTTGCTTATTGTGTTGTGATATTGAAAGGAATAAATGTTTTTTTATACACGTTGACATTTTTATAAGACTAGTGTTGAGACAATACACCGGCACAAGGATTTTCTTCCTAACAGTATAAAACATATCATAATCCCTGTTATTATCTTTGAAAAAACAATGGTTACAATATGTTTTAAACAGGGATTTTGATCTCAGAAACCCATGATACGGTATTTTCAATCATCAAAGTAACTTATCCTGAATTCCGAAGTATTATTATTATATTGCGACGAGTAATTGTTAAGCTATTTCCTTAAACGTGAGTAACAATAGTATCAAATATTAACGCGGCTAATAGGAGCCCATTTGAGCAAATTAACTGAATAAACTTGTAACGAGGAAAACGCTTATGTTATTATAATTTTATATCATTATTCAAACTCAATGAATTAAAGCGTCGGTGGCTCAGGGGTCAAGCAATTGACTTGCAATCTGTAGGTCCAGGGTTTGAATCCCGCTATGTACCAATGTGTTTTTCTATTTCCGATTTACATATGTACATTTATTCGACGTTATTACGGTGAAGGAAAACATCGTGATGCAACCTGCACATATCTGAGAAGAAATTCAAAGATATGTGTGAAGTCAACCAACCCGCGCTTGGCCAGCGAGGTTGACTATGGCTTAATCATCCTTAACTTAGATAGGCTCCAGCACCTCGGTGGGGACGTATGAGCTGATGATGAATGAATTACTAAATAAAATACAAAGATAGAATTATTTTTAATTAATTATATTAACTTAAAACTAATTTTTGGTACAGGTGATTATTTATGTTTTATTACTAGAGAAAAGTGCAAAGGGCAACAAGACTAGATTTGAGATTTATACGATATATAGATAATAACGATTACTAAACACAACAATTAACCTTTTTATCAGTAATACGGTGGAAAAAATATTGATGCAACTTCCACAATCTACAGGGAAATTCAATATGTGTAGTCAACGCGCACTGAGCTAGTGTTTTTACTTAGGCTTAGTCATATCACACTTAGGGTAGGTTCATGTCACAGCAGTTAAGGAACATTAAATATATTTTTTTTAATTTAAATATATTGCTTAATAATGAATGGATCTTCATTGTCTCTGGCTACCGTGCACGCTGCATGTCCCTCCCCTAGATTCGTTTCCATGGCCACGGCAATCACATCAGCTAATGTTACAGCGGCGTTACTACGTGCTGACAGAGAAGCGACACCCAACTGACAGTCCATAACCACCAAATATCTACCACTCTCCACCAGCTTCATGTGGAATTTGATTAAAGATACGGATTTTCTTAGTGGTGGTATATCTGTAAGAAATGTATATTAGTTTTAAATGCAAGTCCCACACGTTAGGTATAACAGTATGATAGTATAAAAACTAATTTATCACGCATACTCTAGGATTGGTTTGAATTAAGATTAAAGGCGTACAGAAATATTACGACAAAAGAAGACACTTGTGTGTGTTGCTTGAAAAAGTTTTCGACCAGCATTGTGGACTCCAAAAATTTCACTGAAATAAGAAAGTACATACGTACTACGTAATGCAAATACTAATTGCTTAATGGTTAAGGAGAGATTCGATCACGTTGTTGAGGGTTAGGATAGCACTATTCGACTTTTATCATGAACCATTTCCTAGCACAAGTCTAAAGCTTATTTTGTACAATTAGCGGAAAATTAATTTAAAAAATATATTTTTAAGAAAAAATATATGTTTACTAACTTCCATCTCGTACGATGTTAGGTACACCGGTGAAACCGCCGGCTGGCCCCTGCTCTGTGAACAGCATGACTTCTCGCCGCGAGCTGCCTATGTTCAACAGTAGCGCTGCTGCCTCCCAGTTGGGCTGCATCTCCAAATACTCGTTCATATCAGACCACACGCGGTGGACTATCTAAACCAAGCAGTGGAAGGTAAATCAACTAATAAAACACGTCTCCTATATGAATTTTAGGGGTTTGAACTCATTCTAGTATGATCCACGACCACCAGGGTAGTAGACATTTTAAGCGCCCTTGCGCGAGATTTTGCGTCGCCTCCCTTTTTTGGTGTTAGGGGAAATCTTCCAAAGTAACTTACAGCGCACCAAAGGCGCCTATTTATATTCGACTCAGGCTTCTGTGCCCCCTAATGCCCGACGACCTGGGCGGTCATCCCACCTCGCCCTAACCTAATGCTGGTACTGGCCACGACCTAACTTAAATCCAGTCTGAATAAGACAATGTTACTTATGGTCTCTACGAAGGTAATTTTTCATATCCCCTTCTCGTATTTTTTTTCCTATAATATGCTTTAGCAATATACTGCCTTGTATTGTTTATTATGTGTATTGTCACATCTCACTATAATTTGAGTTGTTTTAAAAATATAATTGTCAGTATTTTATGTTTACTCTCACACGTAAGCCCTCGTAACAAGAAAGATTCATCCAATGTTGCATAAACATCGATAAACAATATCAACGTTTACTTATGTATACGAGCGTCGGTGGCTCAGGAATCAAACACTTGACTTGCAATCTGCAGGTCCTGAGTTCAAATCCCGTCATGTACCAATGTATTTTTCGATTTCCGATTTACATATGTACATTTATCCGACGTTCTTACGATGATGGAAAACATCGTGATACAACGTACACATATCTGAGAAGAAATTTAAAGATATGTCAGAAATCGACCAACCCGCACTTTGCCAGCGTGGTTGACTATGGCCTAGTCATCTTTGACTTAGGGTACGCTCCGTGACCCTCGATGGGGACATATAGTGAGCTGATGATGACTTATCTATACTAATATTATAAAGCGGAAGAGTTTGTTTGTTTAAACGCGCTAATCTCAGGAACTTCTGGTCCGATTTGAAGAATTCTCTTTTATTGGATAGTCCATTTATAGAGGAAGGTTTTAGGCTATATAACATTACGCTGCGACCAAAAGTTGTTTTGTAATTCCGCGCGGACGGAGTTGCGGGCGACAGCTAGTCAGCTAAACGTTAAAGTTTATAATGTATATTAAATGCTTTACATAAAATACGGTTAAAATAAACAATTATTTAGAATTAAAACATAATTTGATTTTAGTCAGTTATTTAATTTGAATCTATCAATAATCAAAAAAAGTTATTCTCAAGAACAATCGGAAATTGTTAATTTTTCTTTTAATTCACTAAATATAAGAGATTTTTTATTTTCTTTTGTTCTTAATTCTGATGTAAAGAATATATTCAAACTAATTAGGTATAATAAATATATTACTGTATTTAACTTATGATTTTGTTAAGAGAAAGTTTCCGTAAACGACTCACCTCTTTAGTAGCGTTCTTGAAACTTATTTCGACGCATTTAGGTCCAATCTGCATGTGCCATGAGTAATAGATCTTCCATTGCGTATTCACAACCAATTCTGATTCGAAAAATGGATTCCTTGCGAACATTTGACACTTATCAGGATTTCTTTCTATATGTCTTGAATATTCCACATCTCTACTTATTGATAATTTTATTGTACTAAATATTAATAATACTTGCACAAACGACATGATTGAAATGATAATTGCGTCTGTCTGTCTGTCTGTCTTATAAAGATGTGATACCTAATTACGTAAGATGTTATGAACCATTGTTTTGACTCCACAATACTGAAACGGATGATCCATGTTCGTTTGTTTATTATTTATGCGTATTTAACCTTTTCGCAACCGTAGTCCAGTATAAAAGACAGGTAAAGAAAAGCTTCGTAAGGATACTGTTGTCTGAATTATCGTTTGAATTGTTTTATTGTACGATTACTACCTTTAACGTCTTAATTATAATATTTACTGTTATTTTAGTAGAAAGTAGGACTAAACAAAATACAAATAAAAATTCAAGAGAGTGTTTTATTAGATTAAATAGAAAAAAAAGTCGTTAAGTAGCAACAAGTCTTATTTTTCTTGTAATAAATATTTACGGTTTTGCGGCTCCGATCGCAGAATACAGGTAAGCTGTTTTCCTTTGGCTGCGAAAAGGTTAAATATAAACTTATTTATTACAAACAATATGTAAATATTTGATTATTTAATCATACCTTTGTAAGAACAGGATTATTTGCGGCGCATAATTTCAGTCGACGTAATATTTCTAACCGTGGATTTCCATAGCCTTTTTATCACGTTCTTTGGGTTACTGTGGCAATGAAAACTCACAGTAAAAAATATAAAAGAGTAAATATATTATAATTTTCATTGCTCTGAAAAAATCTAAATTTTACTACTCTGTTGACATTTCTAACGTTAATACTTGTATTGTTTTTGCTTCTTAATCCTACTAATATTATAAATGCGAATGTTTGTATGGATTGCTATATGGATGTTTGTTAGAAGGTATATGCAGAACGGATTAACGGATCTCGATAAAATTTGGCAGAGATTTAAAACAGTCTGTAAGAATACAAAGGCTACTTATTAAGTTTTTTTTTATTTCCCAGCGTTCTCATACAAACGAAATCATATGCCACAATTAGTGAAGCTAATTATGAAAATGTACTTTGATATAAATTTTCGATTTCCAAACGCAGCCAATGTAAGGATGTTTATCATGATGAATCCAATTTTACAGAATTTAGACAGAGCAATAGTTACACACGGTCGCTGCGTCGCGTGCACACAACAGTTCATTTGTTGGATTAGTGATGTACGGCGAGCACAAAACTTTATAGTAATCTTACATATATTATATATGCGAAAGTTTAGATGTATGTATATTAGAAGGTATCTGCAGAATGGCTGTATGAATCTCGCTGAAATTTGCCATAGATAATACTTGTATTGTATTCTATTGTAATCTGGAAGAGCACAAAGGCTAGTTACTAAGTTTTTCTTTAATTCGCGGTCGGAATCGCAGGCGACAGCTAAGTAATAGCTAAATATAAATATATGAGCCGCTTATTTTGAAAGTGGCATAAATCATTTATCTTCAAATCGAGATATTGAAAGTTTTGAGTTTCAATGAATTTAAAAATATACGTAAAATAAAATATATTATATTCTATTTTTAGATTCACCGCTTTTAATATTTATTTCTAATAGAGATGAGCCATACTTACTAATGAGTAAATAGTCAAATTGATCGGATTTCGTTATTTATTTTATTTTATTGATTTAAACAGCTTGACATCCGTGTTTTCCGGTACAATGGGATTTTCGGATGTTTTCGCTTAGACCATGCGCAAAATCCTGAAATTTTTTTTTGTCATATACTCATTTATGAAAAAAATATTTTGAGTGAAAACCCACGATGAGAATCAAAATTTCGCGTAAATCTTCATTATCATGTTATACCGCAACAACAAATTAAATAACTGAGAAATAGCACAGTTAATAGCAGAATAAAATAACGTGTCGTGTAACATCACTACTGAACGCGGTGGGCGTATTCTGTGCGGGCCACCGATGCGTATCTTTGGAATAGGTGGAATTGGTGGGTGGAATATTATTACTAGTCGTTATATTCAGTGACAGAGCTAGGCTGGCTGTAATGACTGCGCAGCCCAGTGCTACAGGCAACTATTAAAAAAACAACTTTAATATGTGTTTGAACTTTTTTATTATTGCTTGTACAGCGCTAGTGGAAGCAAATGCCTTTAAAAAAGTAATATCCGACTTTAAGTATAAATCACATTTGAAAAATAGAATGAACTACTGAATAAAGGGTATTGTTCTTTTCTGTAAATACTCGTACTTCTCCGTCAAATGTATTTCCCCTTCGCAACTTTTTAAGAGATTCTCAGAGGATCTCTAGGACCACTATGTGTCAGAATACCTAGTGGTCGTGGTCATAGATTTGCTGGCTGATGATAACCATTGACAATATTACAATACATAATAACCGTATTTTTAACCTTAAATATATACACTTATTAATCTTTGACAAGTAATAAATATTAAACGTTGTATTTTATAAAATCTTAACTCGTACAACCTATAAAAAATCTTTTAACCGCCTTTATCTTGACATTTATAACTAAACCGGAGCCCTTTTACAATTTATGCAGGCGCTCGATGCTTCGAATGCTTGTAAACAATTTGCTAGCTCTAAACTTTTTAAAATTATTTTTCTAAAATTATTAATTACACAATGTTGTTATTAGAGAAAGTCTGAAAGTAGCACGAGTAGTTGAAGAATTAAAAAATATAATATTGGCGTGGTATACATATGTCATGAGGAGGAAAGAATCGCATGTGGCAAGGAGAAGGTGAAATGGGTAGAGGGACACACCGGTGGAGGTAGGCCTCGGAAGAAATGGATGGATCGGGTGAAAGATGTCATGATTAAGAAGGGGTTGACTCTGAATGTCGGCAGATAGATTGATATGGAGGACTAAATTTTGCAATTCATCTATAAAAATCACGAAAATTACTGAGTGAAAATTTAAAACCAAAACCTATCAGTTCCAATGTAATCCTCCCCTAGCGGTCAGGTGTGCTGAATCAAGGGCTGTCACGCGCAGCCGAGTGACCCGGCCTGTTATTCAGCCAGGGTTGCCACATGCAACACACCACACTAACGCTCAAATATATTGTTCCAAATACAATCCTTACCAATATTATAAATGCGAATGCGAATATATGAATGGATAGGTTACAAGGTATCTCCGGAACAGCTCATCAGATCTCGCTGAAATTTGACATGTATGTCAATATCATAATCGCACGAACGGAACGCATAGGCTACCAAGTTTTTTTTTATTTCTGCGCAGATGAAGTCGCTGGCAAAAGCTAGTCATGATGATGCAAACGATGATGATAAAAAATGCTTATTCATATTTTTTAAATTAGATACTTATTTCAAAAACATGGTCTATATCAATAAAATATCATTAAAGCACACTTAATATAATTTCTCTTTAAACAAGAAAAATCTGATTGGAATATGTTACGCTTGACAACCCTGTATTAACTGAAGCGAAGTGAAACAACATCGATCCATTGGTCTCTCTCGAACTGAAAGAGATGAATTAAACACGAGAGTATAGATATAATGTACTAGCTGTCGCACACGACTCCGTCCGCACCGAATTAAAAAAAACTAATTTAGTAGCTTATGTGTTCTTTCAGACTATGCTCTACAACTATACCAAATTATACCAAGATTCGTTATGCCGTTCTGGAAATACCTCCTAACAAACATCTATCCACCTGCAAACATTCGCATTTATAATATTGGTAAGATTTTCGACTAACCTAAAAATAAAAGAAAAGAAACAATAATATACTTCATGATATTTATCTTGTATTGGTCACATAAATTTACAGTGGGTTTCCACTGTTAAAATGCTTTTAAAAACATATCGTTCTCACTTTTATAATGTTTAAAAAAACAAATACACCCATATTATTTTCTACTTAAAAAAATTACGGTAATATACCGAATTTATCATTTACAAGTAATCAAATGAAACTGATATAGAGTTTATTAAATGTAATATTCCGTGTCGAATTCTCGGTCGTTCTCAGAACTAAACAATTTCAACACGAAAAAAAAACATTTTTCTGACAAGAGAGTTTTTCCTGCACGGAGTTTGGGACAAAGGGTTGTCACAAAGCGAGTCAGCGACGGAATTGAATAAGTTTGAGAACGTGCTCTGACGTCAACACGTTTTGTTCTCGTACCCGGATAACTTTGATTGCGAGAAACATTTTTTTTTAGATTTTTTACGTACGAACGTTGTATGGCGGTATTTTTGACATGTTTTATTTTACTAATATTATAAATGCGAATGTTTATAGATGGATGGATAGATGTTTGTTTAAAGGTATCTACAGAACGGCTAAACGGATCTCGATGGAATTTGGCATGCACATAGAACATAGTCTGGATGAACACATAGGCTAATAATTATGTTTTTTTAATTACGCGCGGACGGAGTCGTGAGCTACAGCTAGTTTTATCATATTATTTATTTTTGAAGTATTTTTTACAAACTTCATTATGTTAACTTATAAGAGTCTACGTAGCCAGCTACTTACCCTGTTGAAAAGTTAAATAATACCCTTTGCAAAATTTTTGCCATTCAAAGAAATGTCGAAATTTCTCATTAAATCTACGTTGTTTACCAAAAAAAAAACCTTTTTCAACAGGAATTGCTTGCAATCCACTTGGCATGTTTATATGAAAACTTGGTCTATCAAGCCTGAAAACAATCATCATTTAATCCGTAACATGAGACCTTGGTGCGGCACTTTCCCTTCGACTTTTACTCTCACTACATACAAGTTAGGAAAACATTTTCGCCTACGTAGTTCCGTACCCTCCTATAATCCTCTACCTGCTGAGATATACCGTACTTACCCCGCGCAGCCACTATCATCCATACCTACCAATAATCACATAACCTATAAAAACATATCAACAACAAACCATCACTGAAATCTCAATCGTAACTCTTCAGTTTAAAGTCGCAATTTCTTTCAGGGTACTCGTACATAGGACGTTTGCTATTAAACGGTTGTCTCCCCACCAAGCATCTCTCGCGCCCTGCCTCATGCATT